GGGAACGAAAAAAATTACGTGAAAAAAGAGTGCAATATTCTGGCGTTTTTCTTTTCCGATCCAAAGAAATTACTAAATAAGCAGCCGCCGCGACTTTTTGTAATGACATGACGTACTAAATTGGAGTTGCCTGAATTGAATCGTGAAGACGCATGCTACACTCATATACGAGCCCCTTCCCACTTCAGTTGGCCCAACTATTGAACTCTTAGTTTTTTCTTATAAAACACAAATAATAAAAATGTAGCAGGGTGTTATAGGTTTAAAATTGTTTAACAATGAATATTTTGATAATATACCTGTATAGTAGAAAATACCAACTTTATCACTCCCTAATCAAATTTGCAGCATAAAAATAACACATGTTGCAATTACAGCATATCAACCTATTTTCAGTTCAATGCAAAATAAGTCTATAACGCATAGTTGGTAGGTGAAAAATAAAAGCCATGACAATTGTTTTTATTAATCACAGCTGTCAGAATACGTTTAAAATAGTTTTGGGTAGTTAAGGTTTTCAAAATGGGTAAAGGGAAAGGTTATTAGTGAGAAAATTCGGTTACTGATAATTATTTTTTTTAATTCTGGGAAATCAAACTCGTAAATTGCAACTTTGTTAGACTTATCGCGGTACAGTGTGAGAAATATTGTTAGAAGATATAACGTAACTGGTTGAGTTAATATTAAGCCACGATATGTAAAAAAAAGGTAATATCACAAATGCCGACCGAAGAGCATTAAGAAGAATAATCGTGAAAAACAGGCGTGCCAATTATTTACAATTAAGTGCTCTGTGGAGTGACGCTGTTGAAAGGAGAATTTCGAGGTCCACGACTCATAGAGAGGCCCACAAACTGGGATTTAGCACTTGCAAAGTAAGTTTTCTTATAAAAAAAAGTGAAGTAAAAACCCTAAAGTTGCACAACTTGTTTATAGGCCAAAGAAAACCCACTATTAACTCCACTGCAAAAGAAAAATCGGCTTAGATGGGCTAAAGAACATAGACAATGGACACCTCAACAATGGTGTGCAATACAACGGAGTGATGAGGCCCGATTCGAAGTTTGTGTTGGTGACAGTCGCAGTAGAGTTATTCGCAAAAAAATGAAGCATTCCATGTTGACTGTCTGAAGGGAAAAGTGAAATTTCCAGCATCCATTATGGTCTGGGGCAGTATGTCATAAAAATGAGTAGGAAAACTTCATTTTATTGATGGAAATGTGGATACAAACAAATATTTGGCAATTTTAGAAGAATCGCTTTTACCAGTGATGGAAGAATGTTTGACATCCGGCCAAGATTTTGTGTTTCAGCAAGATGGTGCAGCGGCCATACCTCAAAAAAGGCTATAAAATGGAGGGAAGAAAATAATGTACCACTTTTGAAATGGGTTTCTAGCAGTCCAGATCTGTCACCTATTGAAACTTTGTGGCAAGAGATGAAAAAGGTTCTACAACAACATCCTGATCGTACAATCACCGAACTGAGACAAAAGTTTCAAGAAATATGGGATTTTTTCACACCAAATTTTTGCCAATACTTGGTTAACACTATGCTCCAAAGAATTTCAGCCGTAATAAAAAATAAAGGTGATGTTACCCAATGGTAATCTTTCAATTGTTGCGCATTTATTGGCACATTGTTTATTTGTTCAGATGTTCTATTAGTTATATACAGGGTGACTTTGAAGTTGAGTCATTAATTTTCAGATAATGATTGTAGAAGGAAGATAAACCAAAATATGTGTGTAAAAATAAAAAACAAATAAAAAAAAAATGTTACCTTGTTTAATAAAGTATCCTCCCGACAAGTATTTCAGTGCGGACCTGTATTTGATCGTGCGGTCTTGGAGCAGCATGCCCTCACCTGTGAGGTCTTAAGTCACCTGATTCACGAGCCCTTTGTACTACATTAACAAAGGCACGAGGGGTTGGTTGCACTCGATTGGGAAACCGATTCGCATAAATCCGTGATGCATCCGGGAGCATTTTGTAAAGACTGCCCCCCCGTAAATAAGAATCATGTCCACAAGTTCAGCATTTTCGTAAACATGTGCCATTTTTGATTTCGTTTGAGCCACGCAACACACTACTATTCACTAACGCGTTATCGACTGATGAAAAACATCGTGATAAACGTTTCAAATTCTTTCGCTTTTTTGTTTCCGATGCGATGAACCGGTCAGGCGGATTATATCCGTTGTCGCCAAACACGAGCATATAATAGGCAGGGCGGTACTCAAACTTCCAAAGGGCTATAACTTTGTTACTTTAATTTTACCAGAAAAATGGTAAAGGAAAAAAACATTTCTTTTGATCAGATCTACTCACTGTTAAAATAAATGACTCAACTTCGAAGTCACCCTGTAGGTCTAAGTGATTTCAAATATGTATTTTTTACGACTAGAGTGTATCTAAAATGTTTTTGAGAGAATAAATTGTTTTAGAAGTACAGTTTCATCATGCTTAGTTTATAGAGGCAAATTTTGGTTCAAATCTTGAAGTGGGCCAACTGAAGTGGGAAGGGGCTCGTACGACAAAGCGCATGCCATATAGGGGAACAAAATCCGCATGCGGCATTGATCGAATTTTGGGCAACTGTCGAACGTCAACAAGAGGCAGCACTAGGAAACAAGTAGCATGCCACATGTCGGTCACTGTTGCCTCAGTGGAATACCACCTTAACACGCACTTCTCTTTGCAAATCTCGTTATTGGTGAGCAAAAATAACCGGTTAATTGAATAACCTGCTTGTCTAAGTTGATTCACCAAATTTAACAGTTTATTTCGTAATATACGGTTAACTTTCGGGGTATTACTAGATAATCAGCTGTCATTCTACCGTGATGGATACTCGTGAAATAGGGTATAACGGCCCTGGGATAGCTCTAGGTTATAATAGATGTTCTATGGCCACAAAACGCCTTTTTCATGCTACGGCTTATGGCAAGACCTGACGTTTTATAGATGCCAACTTCACGTTTCCTGCATTTACATTTATCATTCTATAACTTGGAATGATTCATCAAGAAATTATAAGTCTACATAAGTGCCGCTCTGTGCACGTTTACAAAGGGCGGATTTATAGGTGAGGGCCCCCGGAAGCACAAGTCTGCCATTTTGTCAGGAAAATCGTATATATTGCTATATCTTAATGTAAAATTGCTAGACCCGCACGGGTATTATGTAAAAAACCTATAAAACGTCAAAAAAACCTATAAGATGTCGTCTTGAAGACTAGATAGTCTTTACATCTCTGGTCTTTACGGTGCAAACAGGCATTCCACGTTTGCTCACTAGGATCGTTGTGAGCGTCCATCTATGGAGGAAATGGCTCAACTACACGCATTGCCGGTTGCATATATTTTGTGAAGCCGACTAGTCTATAGTTTTCATCTGAAAAGAAAGTTGGTTATTCGGTTGAATAGCAAGATCGCATCTTTATGATTGTGTGTATTGGTCTGCATGTTTTTTTTATATATTCCAACTACCACGAAGACCTAAACACCTATGGGGTACCGTGGGACTATAGGGCGACACAGGCGAAAGGGGGAACGCCACACGGACTCTGGCGAGGGAACACGTGTGCATGCAACATGCACACATTCTCTGGCCCCGCCTACGAGATCCGCCGGGTGGTAACTCTGTGTTCGACAGTCAGGGACCGTCTACCACCTACGGACAATCACATGGAGGCCAAGAGAAAAATTTCTCTTGGGACGGGATTCGAACCCGCACAGCGCACGGCGACTGATCAGGAGACCGAAGAGTCCACTACTGCGGCCACCGCTGCTGCCTATTGTTGGTTGAATATGTTTTGTGAAGTCGAGTAGTCTGTAGTTTTCATGTCTGAGGAGAAAGTTGGTTGAATACCATCGCATCTGGATCATTACGTGTATTGGTTTGCATGAATATAAAATCAGTGATATTTGCTGTGTGAGAAAATCATTACTGAATAATATGCTGCCAATGAAGTATATCTATTAGCTCTGCACGACGGGTTATTTATATGCTGTCCTTTCAAGCATAGCCGTTGGCTGTGGTTCAAGGTTATCAATTACGATTTTTTACATTTTTAAATTCAGCAAATTTGCATATGTAATTTCCAGAATGAATTAGAAAAAGTGGATGCGCTTTGAATCTCAAGGAAACAATAATTCAATGGAATTATCATCAACACATATTATTAGTACACAAATCCTCACTATACACCCATGCATTACCTCCAGTAATGCCATCTTTGAAGCAGATTTTACACCACATCAGAGCCAAACATTAATAACTGAAGCCTCATGACGTTTATGCAACCCATACAACTACAAAACGAGTTCACGGTTCCATCAGCAAGTGCTAAGTTAACAACTTGTAGAAAAACCTATCATAATGTCACAAAAAACATATAATGTCAAAAAATAATCTACATAATGTTACTTTTCAAGATACGTAATACCCGTAATACTTGGACACGTGCGCCCCCCTGGACCTATCCCATCCCCCGCTCTTCAATTTTTTATACGGACATTTGCTTCCAGAGGTGCTGCTTGAGTGGTAGGCATTAGCCGCTACCCCCGCTCTTCAAAGTAATCGCCGCTCAATCTGCCCTTAACGTTTTCACCGAGTGCTACGCGCTATCAATGGCACTTTAAATTGTCTATGGACAAAATTAAAGGTTATTTTCCGGTAAACCCACTACACTTGGTTCAGTTAACCGGTGCTGGTTACAGTTATTGATACGATAACCAATTTTTTATCAATAACCGCCAATCCCCAAGTCTCACTACTATGCCTCCTATATGTTTTGAACATGAATAGAACATTTTGCTGGAACAAACCTATAGCATGCAAGACAAAAAATATGGATCAGGCATTTGGCTACACACTCTCTTATAACATCTGTTGCATATACCAGGATCACTGTGTCATTATTCTGGTATAATGAAAAGTAGTAAAACATCAGCTAAATTTTCCATATTGGAGGCTTGAAATAAGTAAACAAATGAAAATTTTTCAAACAATTTTATAGTTCATTTAACTAAACTAAATCATAGAACAATTTCATATCTAACCATTGCATAAATGTTTCTACATTTTTTACGAACCATAATTACATATTCCAAAAGGAATGCATAAAATAATCAGGATTAATAATACATTTGGACATTGACATCTAAGACAATTAACAACATTTAGTCGATATAAAATACTGAAATATATCCCAAATTCTTGCTGTTTAAATAAGGTCATCTGCATTGAACATACCCTGAAAAAGATACATTAAAATCAGATTATTTTGATGATCTAGAAAAAAACATAAGTATGTAATTTGTGAGCATTAACTGTGGAGAAAACTTTCAATTTTAAATTTCAGGTTCATTTTCTATGCATACTGAAAAGTCTAATGGGCTAAGAGGCCCAAAATTCGCTTAGCAAAATTACGTTTTTCAAATCAAAAATGTATCATAATTCTTTTCCAATAACATTGCAACTGGTATTATTTTGCAAAACTTATCTTTCAATATACATTTCACTTTTATATTACCTTTGCACGTCTCAAGATAGAATCCTTGCTGGCATCATAAGGATGATCTTTTGAAGGAATCTCCAAAACTGCAGGTATTGGAGCATTGTGACTGTCTATAACGTGTCGAATAATTTCTGCAACGTTCTGGTTGATCAAAATAATATCAATATCGTCCCTCTTTACGAATTTTTTAAAGCACTCTTCTATCTCGCTTACTGCCGTATCTATAAAAAGAAAGCATGTGAAATTTGATTTCATTGGTAAGTTAAACGCTTACTTTTATCAACTACCATGAAATTAGGGTGTCTGTTTTTATTGATTTCACCTATTCCGCCCAAGAGAAATCCGACACAGGTGTCCTGCAAAAAAAAACATAGTATTGTTTTATTCGAATGATGCAGCATCTTACCTCATCTCCAATAACAGATATCAGTTTGCCTTTTTGTGCTGAATGTAAAGCCATGTTGATTTAATTCTTATTTTCAAAATATAAGACAAAAGGGTGGAAAACTTGAAAAATCACCTGACCAAGAATATGAAAGCAAAACACATGACTTTGGCATTTGACGCGTGATAGGTTGAATGACGTTGACAATTGACAAACAAGCTACAAAAGGTCTAAGCCAAGGTAAGACTAGCCAATAAACTCATAGAGCTCGACTTCCCTTTTTCCCTCTGAGGCATTGTTAATTAAAGCTTTTGAATTTATGGTTTTTCTTCAATATATACGGTGAGGTTCAAATTTGGCTGACTGCGTAATGTGTGCGAGAAACCAGCGCGATAAGCGTTCGATATGTAGATATGTTAGAAAGAGTGCGGCGATGGCTTCCTTGACCGTTACTCGAATTGCTAGGCAACGAGGTATTTCTATCTCTTTCTCACACACGTATTGCACGCTTCTTTCTCGAACACATTATGGCGTCAGTCATCAGGGGTATTTGGTTTTAAGTGTATATGGAACTGCACTCTCTCTATAGCTCAGCTATATGGATTTTGATGCCAGTTCTATGCGGTATTTCTGTCAAAGGTCAAAATACATCAAATCGCCAAATTGTCATCGACACGTGAACTTTTTGTGGAGGCGAAATATTTTTAAATGTTAAGCAAAAATTTGGCACAAATATTTTTTTGTTTGCACCATTCTGCGAATAAACGTAGATCCCAATGATCATGGAAAGTGCGTCTCTGAATAAGGTAGTTATTTTCTTTCAAACATTCAGTCGAGGACAACTCTATAGGTCCATATTATAGGTCAATCAATATGTTTACAGCAGATCTGGGTTATCATGACTAAAATTTTCACGGCTTTGAAGAGTGATGTCCAAAATTTACATTGTTGTATTGATATAAAGAAAAGTAGATACTCTCGTTGTTCAACAATATTGGATAACTAGAGCCATAAAAATGTTGCCCAACTAAAATTATTGTAAAGGGCGATTTGCTTCGTGTTGTTTTTCAAACAATATATAAACAACCTTATTGGGTTATTTTTTTATCAAATAAAAGAAGAATTTTGTGAACTGCTTATTTCTCATTTAACCTGACATAGATTGTTTTTATTTTTCATGCTTCAAATAAAGTAATCATGAATAATAATAATTCATATATTTCCCTGCTAAAGATTAGCAGACACTAATAAGTGAAGCATCAGACAAATTGGTAAAACAAAATCATCCACAGCCCTCTAACAAAAATTCCTTGAGTTTCCGCTTAACAAAAACATTACATTCAGAATGAGCCTGTTCCTTTCAGATGATTTTTGTGCATAGTTATAAAATACTCTACAATATTTGAGGTTGTATTATTTGAAAAACCTATTTTAGGACCTACAGAAAAAATTATCAGTCTGACCTTTTACACCAGGATCTTCCCTAACAAATCTTCCTCCTTTTCTGAAAACAAATCTCTCAAAAAATGCCTTCTTAGGCCAAAAAGCAACTGAGCATACTGCCTCCTTATGCTGCAGCTTGACATCAGCCATGTAAACATAACTTCCATCACTATATAAGTTGAATATCTCTAATTGAATCACCCATTATTTTGTTGTAGGCCCATCAGCAGCAAAGAAGGGCTGAAGCCTTGCTCCGCCAGAAGAAATTTGATGAATGTATCGAGTGTCATAGACAAGCAATCCTGCTGTTGAATGAAGCATCTAAAATGACAGAAAACCCTCGTTCATTAGAGTCAATCAGGTTGCAAAAAATGTACCATGAGAAGCAGATAGACTTGATGAGAGCTAAGAAAAGTCAGGCACAGATTGAGCAGTATAGGTAAGAAATTTACTGAATGCTGTAAATATTGTTATTGGTTTTGTTACTTTCTCTGAGAAGGAGGCAGTTTTGTTGCCTGGGTAAAGCAGAAAGTGGATTCTAAATCTGAACTCAGTTTCAGCCATTCTTAACCTCAGATTCTGCACAAGATGGCTAAAGAAATTGCTCAAAATAAAAAATCAAGCAAACCCTTAAAATGGCTAAAATTCAATAACATGCCAGGTTTGGAGATTTTCCCTTGATACCAGCTATTTTATTTCTTATATAAATTTTAGAGTCAAATAAAGATACATGAATTTAATATAACCTAAGTGGGTCTATATTGAAACTGCAATTTCCACTATGATGGGTGAAAATGGGAGATCTTTACTCTCCTTTTACTCCTTATGTATCACAGGCTGTTTCTCTGCGACTTTGTATAAAAACTGTTAACATAACTGAAATTCTTAAAATAACACATTAGATTAAATCAAATGTTACATTAGAGTCTCGAATCCACTTTCCTTCTTTTTGCGGATCTTGCCCATTATTTTTTCTTTTTGTTATATACAAGTATGTACAGGGTTTGTCCGGAAAGTAATAGGACTGAGTCGATTTAAAAAAAATTATTGAGCCAGTCGTTACAATTCTTTAAAAACTTTCAAAATAGGCTCCTTCTGCGTCGATGCAGCGCTGCCAGCGCGATTTCCAAGCATTGAAGGCGTCACGGAAGGCATTCTCCGGAATAGCCTTGAGAGCTGCGGTGCATGCTGCTTGGATCCCCTCTGTCGTCTCAAAATGCTTGCCTTTCATCGGCCTTTTCAGGCGAGGAAACAAAAAAAAGTCCGGGGGGTCCACATCTGGTCTGTAGGGCGGCTGCGGAAGCGTTGGGATGCCGGCCTTGGTCAGGTAGCTGTTCACAAGAAAGGCGGTGTGAGCCGGGGCGTTGTCGTGGTGCAACTTCCAGACTGACCCTTCGTTTGAGTCTCCTGAGCACTTCCACGTAAAACTTGGCGTTGACGGTTTGTCCAGGAGGAACAAATTCATGGTGGACGATGCCTTTGATGTCACTTAAGACAATGAGCATCGTTTTCACTTTGGATTTGCTCATTCTTCCCTTTTTTGGGCGAGGAGACGCCGTCGTGTGCCACTCGGAAGATTGCCTCTTTGTCTCGGGATCATACTCAAAGATCCACGACTCGTCACCTGTGATTACGTTATTCAAAAATTGGGGTCACTTTCACACATGTTCAAATTTTCTTGGCATACTTCCACTCGCCGCAATTTCTGGTTGTCAGTGAGCACTTTTGGGACCATCTTCGCGCACACCTTGCGCATGTTCAAATGCTGTCTCACAATGTCATGAACCACAGATTTTGGTAAATTTAACATCTGGGCAATTAAACGAATACTTAGTCGACGGTCTGAGTTCAAAACCTTGCGCACACGAGTCACATTATCGGTGTTTGTCCAAGTCGAAGGTCTTCCAGCACTGTCTTCATTAGCGACCTCTTCCCGGCCATCCAAAAAGGCCTGGTGCAAAGAAAACACCACTTCTTGCTAAAGCAACATCTGGGTAAGCCTTGATCATATCAAACGTCTCTGTCGCAGATTTACCGAGTTTCACACAGAATTTAATCGCGTACCTCTGCTCTAACGAACCGCCGCATTTTCGGCTTGCACCACTCACAGAAACACGTCGCGCGAAAATGCCTGTCCTGACTCTCCAAGTGCTCGGAGACAACTGACCAGCTCATTCGTTAGCTAGGAACGCCCTCTACCGAATCCAGTCGGTGCGCGCACACTCCGAAGTACAGTCATGGCGGAAGAAAATGAGTCCTATTACTTTCCGGACAAACCCTGTATATGCCCTTAATCAAGTTGTGTTCTAAAATCCATTTTTAGCTGATGGATCCTTTCTATAAACTACCTTCCTGCCAAATTTTTCCTTCAGGCTGGCTTAATTTGGAATATTCTTTGTTCTTGAGCTACGAGAGTGTTTCTCGTCTCTTCATCCTTTAGGGGTGAATTTTCCAAAATTTTGGCTCATTCGCTTTATATCACATGACTAGATATGATATCCCTATATAATGGTATCCCTTACTTTGATCATAATATTTTTTCCATAGTCACTTTTATCGGGTCTAATCCCTTTCAAGTTTTATTTTCTCAACAAAAGCTAGCCTATATCCATCTCCAAAATCTAATGTATATCTATGCTAAAATTAATAAAAATCGGTTCAACCGTTTTGGCGTAAAAACATACGTACTTTTGCATTTATAATATTAGTAGGGATTCTGGCTTACGATTTGTATAATTTCATTTTCCTAGGAAATCACACCACTTGAACCGCAAAATCTCCTCCAATGGCGAATGCGACAACAGCGAAGGCCTTGAAGCAACCATCTACCGCACCATCCAAGTCCATGACTCTCTCATCGACTACCTCGGCAAACGCAGTGGCAGCGACAATGACAGCCTCAAATCTTACTCCACGTCCGACACAGACGATCGTCAAGACAAGGACTGTACGACGCCCATCGTGGGCAACAAGCATCCAAAAGATGATTCGCAGATCATTGAGGAACTGAAGGTGCTGAGTGGCCAATTGAGAGACTCAGTACAGTGCCTGTTGGTCCAGTTGGACGATAGGAATAAGGAGATTGAGAAGCTCAAGGCGACTATTAATGTGTTGGAGAGTGAGAAACAGAAAGGTGAGCAACTCAGTCATGAGCGCCGCGGGATTTTCTCTCATTGGGGCGGGGCTATCGTCAGCAAGCGATCACTTTTTGTGAGTGTATCTACCAAAACTTCTCATGCAGGGGATGAGCAATTATGCTAAATGTTGCAATGAATATCGGGTTACTAACTGGCTACAATTTATTGTTTAGACTAATACTGAATAGTAGTGGTCAAAACAGGATTGTTATAAAACAAAAACCGCAAAATATATGAACTTTTTTTTATTGCTAGTTTTTTTTTTTAATTAAAACAAACTCAACTAATAACTGTTTGAGATCAAACTAAATTACAAAGTTAGTTTTCTCTTCTAAGTAAAACAAGCTTTAAAGAGAATTTTTACTGAATTAGCAAATAAGATTTACTAATGGCGAATTGGCCTGCACCCTTATAAGATCAAGTTAACTCAAGAACTAAAGCTGTTCTATCATATGAACCTATGTACAAGAAAATGACCCTCTTGTGCTTCAAGAAACACCACGTCATCCACAAAAAATAACTATGGTGTGGTTTTCATGCCGGTGGTGCCATTGAGCCTTTTTTTTTTTCGTTGATGAACATGACCGTCACGTTACAGTTAACCGAGATCGCTACAGAGACATGTTGCAACGTTATTTTTTTGGTCAATTGGATGGGCTAGACATTAATGATATGTGGTTTCAATAAGATGGTGCCACAAGCCGCACAGCGTGCGAGACAGTCGACATATTGAAATCATAATTCGTTGAACGTGTTATATCGAGAAATGGTCCTGTCGAATGGCCGCCTAGATCGTGTGATTTAACACCTCTAGACTTTTTTTTGTGAGGCTACACTAAATCATGCCAACAAGCCGGCGTCGTTAGAGGAGCTCAGAGACAATATTGAACGAGACATAGCAGCCGTTTCTGTCGAAATGTGTGGCCAGTCATTGAAAATTGGGTTCAACGACGCGATCGCTGCGAACGTGCCCGTGGTGTACATATGAACGAGGTTGAATTCCATATATAAATGTTTTGAGTATACTTCAATCCAATAAAAATTTTTTTTTGTGATATCTCAAATGATTTGCGATTTAAAAAAAATATCAAGTCCTTAATGGGAAACCCTTTACATACTTTAAGATCTAACAGGAAAACTGTCGCATAAGTTCCTAGTACAAAGCTCTCCTAGATCGTCTTCTTAGAGGAGGACCCATTTTTATAGAACAGGAATCTTCGAGGGTGTAGTTTTATCTTTCCCATCCTTTAAAAAGCAGTTGAAAACTGTTCTACTCGTATTTGTATTCTGTGCAATTATTTAAGTCTATTTTTTCATTGTATATCTTTTATGTTTCAGCGTCAGCAAAAAGCAGTACAAATGGCAGTTTGAAAGTGACTGACTCGTCGGGAGGCACATCGCCCTACGTTTTTTCACCCTGTAGTGAACTAAGTCCAGATGTTAACGAAATAAGCAGTATACCACCATTGGCGCCACTAGAAATGCCCAATTTAGACTTTCTAAGTGTAATGAAAAGTAATAATAACAATGCTAACTGAAACAGTTTACATTGTTTTCAATAATGTTGTGACTCACTACTTTTGTCATGACTTTTTGGATTTAGATCAAAAAATTTTAACTTTATTGATGTGGATACTATTAGATGTAAGTTTCTGTTACGATTTTATAAAAATCGATCGAAATTATGACTCTGAAGCAGAAGAGTCACTAAAAGCTGTTTATTACTCATTCCCAGTTCCTGACTGAATATATTACAGAACTAAATATTCATTAAAAGACAACTCTAGAAAGGAATTCGACAAGTTTCGGTATGATCCTGGTGGTTATATTGAAAGAAAAGTCAAATATTTTTATTAATTTCGAATAACCATTTTGACCGAGTTTAGGATAATTTAGTTAAGTGAAAGCTTATTAGTCATCACATCTATAACCCAGTATATTTTTTGGATGAAATACTAAGTAAAAGCCGCCTCCATTCCAGCAGCTATTTGATTCTTTCAAATAGAAATAGTTTCTTTTGAGCCACCTTGTGTATCTTTGTTGAGGTTTCAGTTTGGTCCAATTTTCGCCTTGATGTGAAGAGGCCTATTACTATTGCTTCAAGAAATCAAACCATATGAATGTACTAAGTCTGAATACTAAAAAACATTACTGTTTTTCAATTTTTTTTATCCTTGTTCGTACTATATTGAATTTTTACTTCATAAGCTATTTTGAAATTTTTGCTGCTTAAATCAATTCACTTTATATGTTAGGTTTTATTGATAGACTCAAAGGATACATACGCGAGCCTATAAGACTTCTCAACATGTCAGAAATCATGGAATTTTAACCGTTTTCAGTCTTGTTTTTCAACTGTATACAATTGGGTACAAACATGTATTTACTAAAATTGAATCGAGCATTTCGAAAACCACTCGTCATATTTGATAAGAATGTATATGAATATGATTATACACTGAATTTCATTAGGTACTTAGAATTAGTCCAGACATTATTTCCCTGCCCTGCCGATAGTTTATATGGAAACATAGCCTCTTTCCGATACTTAACCCGGTTAGACGTGGCAGCGCGGTTGAGGGCTAATGTACGGAGAATTCTGTGATGTGTGAAATATATCTAATAGGTGCTTAGGATTACCAAGATTGGGAGCGTACTAAAATCAACAAATTGAGACAAACTCTTCCCACGCTCTACAACCTCCACCCCCGTTTTTTTCTTCTAATTTTTTTTTAAAGATCCTCTAACGTCAAAAAAAAGAAGTTTGGACGATTTTTATTCATTCTCATTTTTCGCCTTTTTCTCTGCCGTCGCTGGACCGACTTCCAAAAGCTACAAAATTTCATCGAAATCCAAGTGATACTTCCCAAGTTATAGGAGGTTATACGATTAGCGGAAATGAGTGATATGGTTTTTCGTGATGTACATGTCATATTTATCTCATTTTCGAAAATTTTCGCGATTACAATACTTCCCCGTTAGTAGGCGTGGGAAGTAAAAATGAAATTAATTTCAGTGTATATGTTGAAGTCACTTAAACATGCAAAGTTACATGTGGCATGTTAACAAGTTAAGGTTTAAGTGTAATTTTCAATAATAAGCAATAAAAAAGTACTTTAAAACTCATTTATTTATGAATGGCACAGTTTTTATTGATTTTTGAAAAGTTCAAATTGTTTGACGAGGTTTTCGAGATGATCATTTGATTTGGTATGAGAAATTAACACCTATACAAGATTATAGGTATTTTCTCTTTTGTTGCATATATAATATCCAACATGTTATTTTTTGTGATATCAAATATAAGATCTATATTTCCATATGTTTTTCTACCTGCCTCCACAAATTAACAAACTTAGTGATTGGAAAAATTAGAATTGTTTTTTTTTTGACCCACCATGATCAAGGGACAAATGTTGAAAATGAAAGTCTACATATTATTTAGGGTTTATTATTTAAAAAAATACTTTATGGGTAATTACAAATAAAGCCTTATGCATTTCATTCTGTTAAATCAAACAATAAAATATTAACAAAATATACGCAAAGGAAAGCCAACACTGTGAAACATCAACAGGGATTTAAGCCAAAAATCAGTTTAGCGTCTGAAGACCTGCTGAATATTCTTTGGTTTTTCAATTTTTTTATGAACATATGTAACAACACAATCTGTAGACTTCCCTTTAGGTCATGGTATTAAACTCTTAATATAAAAATAATGACTTCTCCAAAATATACAGTCATAAGCATAAAACACAGTGTGATGCACAAACAGATAATCTCAAAATACTGGTTTGAAAAACGAAACAGGACGTTTTATATCACTGGATTTGTCTTGATTAGTTTTCCAGGAATTACATAAACTTTTGAAAAATAGCCTGAGGTGCTGAAAGCATAGAAGACATATCTAGTTACGCTATTTTGCGAATATATCCCATATAAGACGGACTATATCAATATAATATCTACAGTCTGGCAGAAGTTAAATCAACCACCTGGGTGATTCGGAAGATTTAGGAAAAAGATTCTTTTTTATAAGCAGATCAAATAAATCTTTGTAAATTCAGACAATACAGACTAGACTATTATTCTATCACACATATATACTAATATATACTGACTTGGATAAATACATATACATCTTTGTGATCAATTTGCTGATGCAGAAATGACACCTCATCAATTTAACAAGTTTGTTTTATACAAGGTAAATTTGAAATAGGTATATTTTAATAAACACGTGTCGACATTGAAGTGGAATACATAACAAGCTGTGTTCAATTTTACGTAGTCATGCCATAAGTTCTGTCCCTCGTTTTCAAACAAGTGTAGACCTGTTAATACTTGTCCGATTGTTTACATTGTGGTGTCAGTTGATTAAGCGCTTTTCGGGTAATTACATATACCTCAGTTTGTATTGATCTCTCGAAGCATAACGATGGAGTGGGGCAAGGCAGAGAACTGTATTGCAGTGATAGCTTTACATAAGTGTAATCACAGTGCTACTCAGATTTTTGAACTCTTACGCGGCCTTCAAATATCACGTAAATTTGTGTCTAGGACCATTCAGCGGTACAATGAGACGTCCTCTGTTGATGACAGGCCAAGAAGCGGAAGACCTCGTCAAGTAAGGACTCCAGCAGCCATCAAAGCCGTAAAAGCCAGGATTCAAAGGAATCCACTCCGGAAGCAGAAGATCCTATCCAGGGAAATGAAGATTCCTGTCCGGACGATGTCGCGCATCATTAAACAAGACCTAGGGCTAGGGGCTTACCGGAGACGTACGGGCCAGCGACTTACGGCCACCTTGCGACACATCAGGGCGACAAGATCCAAGAAGCTCTTGGAGAGGTACGCAGCTGGAGGATTCCGAAAGATTTTGTTCACGGATGAGAAAATCTTCACCATAGAAGAAAAATTCAACCGACAAAATGACAAAGTGTATGCAAGGAGTTCACAGGAAGCTTCGGAGATCATTCCGAGAGTTGAGAGAGGCCACCACCCTGCGTCAGTCATGGTTTGGTGGGGGGCGTCCTACGAAGGGGTCACTCAGCTCCATTTCTGTAAACAGGGCGTGAAAACAAAAGCGGCAAACTATCAGAGCGACATACTGGATCCTATCGTCAAGCCTTTAAGTGGTACATTGTTTGCCAACCAACACTGGGTCTACCAGCAGGATTCCGCCCCCGCTCACAAGGCTAAGAGTACGCAGCGCTGGCTGGAAAGCAATGTGCCAGAGTTCATTGCTGCGGAAGATTGGCCCTCAGGGAGTCCGGACCTCAATCCTTTAGACTACAAGTTGTGGGACCTGCTAGAGCAGTTGGCCTGCTCCAAAGCCCACCGTAATATCGAGTCCCTGAAAGCGGATTTGATCCGATCAGCGGCAGCTATTCCTTTGGAAGCTGTGCGTGCAGTGATAGATGAGTGGCCCGCGAGATTGAAGCAGTGTGTGAAGGCCAAGGGGGGACATTTTGAATAAAACTGTTTGATTATGAATTCTAAAAATGTTGTCGAATAAATAATATCTTTCATATAAATATATCTTATCTTGTTTCATTTTTATCATGAGATTATCATGGGACAGAACTTATGGCACGACTACGTATATGGAATATGACAGTGAAGGTCATAATGTGTATGGTAGGGTTGAATTGAATAACCTAACTATCCATACAAAAGCGGGAAAAACAGAATTTCATTAATACCTCACGCATAGATTATTAAAAAAAAAAAAGGGTTAATAGAAGAGGCACTCCCCCAAAAAACCGGTTTCAGTCGCCGTACCTGAAACAATACCTGTGGCCCCTGAAATGTTTAGCATTTGTGTGCTTTCACATAATCTTTGCCTGCGATGAAACATTTCAACATAAAAAAATTACAAGCAAGTAGTCGATCGTCGGCATCCGAGATCGTGGGAAGCAAAATCGGAAGTGGGTGGCGTTACACGAGGATTCGGTAAAACCGAGTGTTGCTGTAAGCGTGGCTGCAAAATGAAGGCGGGACGGGGGTGCTGATGTTATGATGTCCTGATAATTATATTAATCAAATCAATGGAAAAATGCGAAGGTCCTTCGGATAAGGCATCCGTTTTGCGAGGCAAAGATTCTAAAAAAAAGGATCTGGTTTCTTAAGTCTGAACATCAAAGGTTTTTTCGGCAGTGCCCCTCCAACTGTTAACTGTGTATTCTTTGGCTTATTCCATTTCAACATTAACCTTATTGGAAAACCCATTACATCAATAAAACAGAAATAAACAAAAAAGACAAAAGTTAAAGGCACCATTAGCTAACCATTAGCATTATTGCAGCAGAAAATAAATAGTAAATCATTTTTTTTTTTATCAACATAGAAAAAACCAAACCAGAAGCGTGTAACTGCCCCGAAAAATTACAAAGTACACCACACTACAGAGGCACGTCAACCCATCTAATATAATACAGGAAGGTAGCAACAATACATTTTAAACATTCCAATGCGGAATATTGTTCTAAATTGATTTTCTCTGCCCTAAACTACCAAATCTGCATCAACAAATTGCAATTTCATAAATTCTGTTTCACTACTCAATGTTATCAAGGCGTGTATGGTGGTGGAGGAATGCAATAAGGGGGTGGAGGGGTAGGGCTATGGAAAACATCCATATGGTCATCGAAGGCATCTAGAAGACACCTGTCATCATCTTGCAGGTACTGAGATGTGTGGAATGGCAGGAGGAGGGTGTAGATTATGCCAATGCATGTTACTCCACCTAAAAAGATGTAAGACAGATTCATCAAGTCACATCTAAACAAAATTTTAACAGAATTTTAGAGTTCATCATTTTTTTATTATGACAGAACTTCTGTTACCTGATGCTGCTATTAAATAGAAGCCTAATCCATAAGTAACAGATGCATCAGCTTTTGGATATATCTTATTTAGGGAATCTTCCAAGAGAACCACTATGTAATATGATATGCTTATTATAGCCATTATCCATATCACTGAAAATAAATTTTGTAAGTTACTTATATGGCAATTAATGTGCAACCTTAAAAAACAAGTTTTGACTTGTGCATAAATAGATAAATAACCCAATATCAATTAACACTAAACTTAACTTTTATTAGAATCTTCAAATATATAATTAGTTATAAGATTTGACACAGATTTCAAAATATTTACCTGTACATGTTCCCAAAACTGCATATCTCCTGATTGACCTGTAGAAAATGTGTTTTGGACCAATAACTTCCAGAAAAAAACCAGTCAATGAGAAAATTATTGCCATGAAACAAAGTAATATTGTAATTCTCATCATGTTAACTATCTTTGTGTTTATACAATCATAATCTGAAAAAAATAGACGTTTCTTTTAAAAGTTACATCTTATGAGGTTATACTTTTTAGATAGTTTTTAGTTCGAAGGGTACCATAACCATTCGACATTCTCAAATTTAACTATATAGGGTAGGGTGTCTTGAAAGTCAGGAATTTTTTTTCAGGGCCTACTATGTTTGTAATACCAAAACTAATTTGTGGCAAAACAACACTGGAAGTGTAAAAGAGAAATAAAATAATTTCAAGTACTGCTCTGTCACATGTTTTATTTGTACAGCTTCAAGTTGTTGCTGTTTATTAACTTCTTCCTAAATTTGCATCATTAGGAACTTTCTAGGTTTTCACCTGTGTTCAGGCAGATGGCTTTTGCAAACATATGAAGCTCTGATGCAAAGAAATATCAAGGATGACAGTGACATCTGAGTTGCAGAATATCAATAGGATCTTGAACATGCTCATATCAAATTGATAACTATGTCATTGCTCTAAGAAAGTTCTAATTACAGTGTATTAAATGTGGTTTGCTTATAAACTAGGTTAACTTAGATACCAAACAATGCCTGATTTGGATAGTGACTCATATAGTCTTAGTACAACCTTTTGCAATTTGACACACTGACTCATTTATTGCTTTTTGGAACCTAATACCTTCATTATCTTGAAGCTTTGTTACAAATGTTACTAAAAAAATATGCTTATATGCTCTGTTAAGGAAACTACCAACTTTTGACACCCTGTATATGGAGTAAACAACTATTGTCTACTCATTTATGAAGTTATCTTTTGTTCTGATGCAGGGAAAACCATTTCGAAAGTCACTTACTTGTGCATTTAAGAAAAAGTGTTCCAACACCGTTCATTATTATAACAAGAAGATCTTGTATTTTGTTCCAATCAGTGTTGGGATTGTTCCAGAACAGTTTTGTTATGGTGAAATCAGCACAAATATATAAAAGTGTATCAAATAATAATTAAAAGGTGTTGGGAGAATAGCACAACTCAAGGTTGGAAAGAAACTATAGACAATAGAGTTGTTTGAGTAGTTTCCTTCTACAATTTATTCTACTATAACATGTATACTATATCTACATTCAAGAATATGGTAATAAAATATACTAGAAAACCATAAGTTACCTGAGTAGTTTATGTCATCATTTGAAAATCCAAACCAAAAAAACTGTCCTAGTGTGAGGTAGGGTACACAAACGTTTCCAGCAATTGTAAACCAAGTCAGATCTACTAGAGACATACTGATAAGTGTTATTGTGATCATGTGGAATGTTGCTGATATTATGTTGCTTTCGTCTTGTTTTGGGTGTATTAACTGCACCATACTTGTTATAAATCGTTCCGTCATGATGTTTGAGATTCTAAAATGTTAATGATTAAAAAGTTGTTGGAAATATAAAATTGCTTCAGAGTGAAGTAGAAATGAGCCATAAACAAACGTGATATTTTACCTGATTCGACAACACTAATTTAATGAAATAGTTTCTAAAGAACGGGAGCAGTTCAGTTCATATCCAAACACCGAAAAGTTTTAATGCAACGCCCCCAACAAATACTGAAAAATAAAAGATCTTCAAAGTTGTTTTTACGCTTGTCAAATTATATCAGCTGACAAAATTGACGAATGACAATTGACAAGGCTGCCATAGAGCATAAAATAAGGAAGATAGAAACTCCGTCATATGCAACACATAAGTCTTAGGGTCTTCGCATATGCATCGTAAGCGTATCGTTACGACGCAACGCTTACGAGACCTGCAGTGTTCCACACACACATCTTCAAGTACTCGTATCGTTTTGTAAGATCTCAGTTGAAATCATGGCGTCAACGGTACCATATGTTTCTGGTGTATCCATTGATAATCTTACATTTTCTTGAGACGAAGAGAATTTTCTATTGTTTGATTATGTTAGAAGTAGAAAGCAACGTGCTCATTGGATCCATCCATACCTTGCAAGTAATAAGAAGAAAAGACTGTTTGTTGCTGCACGTGGATTTTCAGAAGATGATAGTAAATACCGAAGCTTTTATCGAATGAGGAAGGAGACGTTTCAGCCATATCGAGAGCAATTAAACAAAACTTTTATATTTTACGTTTGCTCCTACGCCTGCCTTACGCGCGGCTTCTAGAGGCGGACATTTGTAATGTTATATTACATATCGGCCGCCCTCTATTAATATATTTTTAACTCAATAAGAGCTATTCGGATATCTAGTACATCTAGTACAATTATGAGAAACGGCCATCTCTATCTGTAATGATTTTGACCTAACCTAACTAACTTTTAAAACGTATTTGAAATCAAAACGGAGAAATCCCGGAAAGACTCTCATAATTTCAGAAAAATGGCAAGTTCAGTCGAAGAAATCACAGAAACCGACATTGAAAGCTTGCTTGCGATATTTAAAGTTGGGCTAGATAACTACAACAGTATAATAACTAGCGATCAACCTACGAATAGTCCAGAAATACAGGTGCGCATTTCTTACTCCAGTTTGAATTAGCTTTACAATATTTTGAATTTTAGATGCAGGTGAAGAGGACGATGAAAACCTTAGAAAAAGCTACCAGATTAGTATCGCTAGCTGGCATATTCAGTAAAAATGAGGGAATCGAAGAAGTAGCAACAAATGACTTGCAATACTTTCTACTCCCAGCTCTTTTGGGGTCTCTGAGTCTCAAGTTGACTTCTGGGGAAAGAAAGGACATTGTTGATGTTGCAGAGATTTATTTCAAAGACTTCCTCACTAGGTGTAATGAATATGGTTTGTGCAATTATCAACCAAAGGATAAAAAACAAGAAGATGACAAAGAACAGACTGAATTTGAGAAGCTTGAGACTGCTGTTAATACTAGGGCCAATAAAATACAAAGGTTTGATGCCAATATTTTGAGGCAGCTACCTTAATTTTAATCAGGTTATTTTTAGCATATTTCGTTGGTCATCTGCAATAGAAGTCATAAAAACTAAAAGAAATTATGTTATCCTAAATGTTTTTTTTTTAAATTGATATGCACATAAGGAGCGGGATATTTTTGAAATGTGTAAGTCAGCTAATTGACTCCAAACAGTTGTAACTCCAGGTATTATTTAAATATGTTTTTGCTGAGGTTGGCATGAGCCTCAAAGTTCCCATAATTCTTTGAAGATCATATTTGTAATCGGCATCCCAGTGTACAGTTTCAATCACATGTAATGATAAGAGCAAAAAATTGATATTTTGCAGTGAGAAATGTGACAGTTATACTATTGATAAAAATCTTCAAAAATTCTTTCACTTCTGCATTTTCTCCCATACTTTTTTCTTAGGTAAATTATGTAGGTCAGTGTTGATTGAAAATCAACATGAGGCCTCTCAAAATACGTTTTTCTACTTCAAATAGAGCTTTTGGACACTTGAACTCCATATTCAATAACAGGATCCCAAATTATCCCAGTGTACCCAGTTTTGCTCACTCATAAAAATGATACATAAAATAGGAAATGTTGTCATTAAGGACTTGTTCAGTGGTGATAGTCACTGATCTTTTTTTGGAACCATGTTGACCAAATATTGTCATATAATAGAGGAATCACATCACACTTAGACTAAGTTCTGATGACGTGCAAACGCCTGATGCTAGTTTAGAAAATACGTAAATTAATCTTAGCTGTTACATGGAAGCGCGTGTCCGAAAATGCATGACATACGATGCCACTAGATGCAGAGTATCTCAATATGAGTGTCAGTAAGAGTCTATGCACTTATCGAAATACTAGACTTTCCGATTGCCTATGCAGCTGACAGTCATATCTTATTGCTGTTAGTGGACATACCATAATGGAAAACTGAAAAATTTAACAAACCTTTTTATTGGTGAAAGTAAAAGGAGACTAGCGTCTGGGATGAGATAGCCTTAATTTTTTGCAGATCTGATGATACCAGAGAAAATATTAGATTTGCCCTAAATGATTTGTTTATAATTAGGGATTCAAATCATTCTATCCCTACCACTCCATTTTATTTTGTTGACATTCTAAAGAAGCTAAAAAGTGTTGGTTCATGTTTTTGATGGCTGGGATAAAGTGTAAGTAAAAAACTTATAAATAGGGTAAACCCAGTATACCCTTTAACTCTTTTACATTATTTCGTTCCTCTGTATGTTAACAAAGTACAAATATTTTCTTTCCCATCCATTCTCATTGACTACGCACAACAAACTGACGTCCTACATAAAATTGGTTCTGGTGCCATCTCAACGCCGACCCAACAAATCGCGTCACATCGACGCACGTCATTCGAACTAAGCCTTACCCTTCTAATGATGATGATGAATAGAAGTTTGGAGCAAATGCCCATTTCTTGTTGATCAATGCGTAAATTAAATTAAACAGAATTACTTGAGAATATATTTTTCCTTTATTCAAGGTTCAAGGAGCAAAAAGCCCTAAAATCTCAACTAGAAACTCTGCAGAAAAATCTGGATAATGAACATGTAGATGAAGAGATAAAGCGCAACTATTTTCTCACCATGATCAAGCTATTCATACATGAATCCTTGGATGAGCTGAGCAGCATTGAAATGGAGAAGCCCATCTTGGAACACATGGCCAATTTGAACAAGGAGGAGAAGCAACCTCCAAAGAGGCAGCCCCCTCCTCCTTTGAAGCCAATAATCATCACTAGAGATGAGGTGCAGAAAGCTGTTTTTGGGGCTGGATATCCATCTTTACCTACCATGACTGTGAGTATTCGATAATACTCTTTCAACTAGAAAGTGATAGCAACTAATCCACCATAAGCAATAATTTCTTTATAGACAGGACACTATTCAGGCATACTCGCGTCCTCTACCATCAGTGTATCGTACCACTGATTAATGTATTCTACCTGAAAGTCGTCGACCTTGAAATATAGCCATTTAACTAGTAGCGTTTTTTCTTGTGTGCAAAGGACCTTTTCTAAATAAAAGCGTTGTTAGTGAGTATAAAACTGTAGTGTACAAAAGAGCACAACAAAATTCGAGTATCTCTATAGATATAGTGTCGGCAGATGCCTATGTAGCTATGGGGAGCAAAGCCGATTGACATAGCGTTAGAAGAGAGCCAGATCGCCGCGTCTGTGCGAACGGGTCCCAAGACTGTCCGTTAAATTGTTTTATGTCTACTTATCGCTAAAATAATTTCCCGTTATTCCTCGTCTTTGCCAGGTCCAAGAGTTCTACGACAAGCGCGTTGCAGACGGTGTGTTTCCAGATCCGAACAAAAAGCCATCCACCAATCAGGCACAGATGAGCCTCCAGGAAGCAGCACTTGCAGGAGTGGACATGAAGCAGCAGGATGAACAAGATGCAGCTGAGAAGGAGAAGAAAGAAGAAGAGGATGATGATGAAAACATCGCCAGAATGCGGGCCAAGGACGAGTTCAAGGACGATCATAGGCGCGGATGGGGGAACAGGATGAACAGAAGCTAGAAACTGTTTGATGTTTGTTTAATGCGTCATGAGAGAATAAAGTTTTTGAAAGTCTTCGATTCATTGTGCTCTATCTCGCCAATAAAACTGATGCCACATTTTGAGAAAAGCCTTGCTAAAATTTTTGGTTGTCAAATAAACTTTGTGCATGATTTAAACAAGTATTTAAAGTGAAATTGAAGTAACTAACAACTGCGGGTATCTGTTGGTAGGGTAATCTATGCAGAATCTAAGAAAATGATATTTAATGTGTTGAACTCCTCTTTAAACATGATAAGCACGGTTTAGTATAAATTGGAAAAGCATTATGACTTAGCTGCAAAGGATTTCACAACAAACCAGATCCAGAATGACCTTAATTTATTTACCAGTCAATAATTTAGTATATAATTTTCTTATATTTTATGATTTGCAGCTTACGTTTATTTTTCAAGATTTGTGTTCGAAGATATGTTTTCTGTCTGCTCATTTTATTGGTGCGATTACGAAAATATCGTGATATTAAACCAATTTTTAAAAAGACAAATATCTATTATTGTAATACTTTTTTAGTTCATTGATTTTTTGTATTATATATTATTTTTAAAAACATCACATTATGTGCCAGAGTTTGATGTATAATCAGTGAAATTAGCTGTTTTTTTATATATCTACGTGTATATTGAAATAAATAATTTTCAGAGACGATTTTGTTGGTTTTCTTTATCCTAAATCCTCAGTAACCATTGATTAACGTATATCCGAAGATATAGCCAACCTAATGTATTCCAGCGTTCAAAAAATTATCATAGGTGAAATGTGATAACATGGCGTAATCTATGAGAATTTGTTACAGCTGTATTTCTCCTCTCTGTAGTAATTAGAAATATGTTTCGAAAAGGTTAGCAACTCAGATGCAATATGCTCAGCGAAGCAATCCAAGGCAAAGGAATTGTGAATGCAATATATGTACTTCCTAAGCTATAATTTGGGATTTATTAAAAACACATACGAATGTCACTCTCTACGCGGCGACTACTGATACAATTATTGCTAGGAGGCAAAACTAGCTCAAATTTTCTGGGAAATTTTTATTCGTGTAAAATATAATTAGAACTCATTTTACACTCAAACTTTTGGTAGACCATAATCGGGCAAATTAGCTTCAAGTTATTTCTAAGAATTACACATTTACCTATTTACCATGATCATTTCTATTTGCACGACACTGACTTCTAACCATCTGTGATACATACGTACTCTGACACGTTATAAAATCATCATAAATTCCAAATCAAATATTTTAGACCTTTGTTTTTGTTGGAGCTTTTTGAAAAAAAATATTCTACAGCTCTGGTACTTACTTTATAGAGGTGTTGTTGGTTCATGATAATAAAACAAATTGACCTTACCGTGATATAAAAAATAATAAACATAATTTCTGAATTTAAACTGCTAAAAGTGTGCAACGCAATGCTGTAAGATGGTTTCAAAGATTCGAAAAATCCATTGTGGTTGATTATTATCGGACCGTACGGTATGATCAGGCGTTTGCCTGATTTTGGTGTTAGAAAATTTAGTCTGTATTTTAAGGCTAAAAAAGGAGACAAATTTCATTCCCTTAGCGATAAAATAACTTGAAAGAATACAAAAAAATTCTTTCCCTATTTTTCACTAACAAAAAATTGACGAGGCACATTTTTTCTGGTAACGCCCATATTCTTGCCTACGTAATGCATTTCCACCATTTCTGCATTTGAATAATTCACTATTATTAAAAAGATTGTAAAAACTAAATAATTAAAAAGATGTCACAGCGAACAAATTTGAATAACAGAGACTTGTCAGATATCAAAAGCCAGTGACATATTCCAGAGCAACTAGATATTTATTGCTAAATTGCATTCTTCAATTATTACATTAATTTTCTGGGACAATAGAACGGTTTTTATTTTTTTACTCAAAAATCGAAGGAAAACAATTAAAGAGAGATCATTTGTTTTAAATTGAACGAGGAATTCAAAAATATTTTTTATTTGGCAAAAAACTATAGGCGAACCATTTTTTTCTTAAAAAATATCGAAGACAACGCACGCCACTGTTAAAGCTAAACATTATTTTTGCATTGAAAAATATGCAACTTTATTAACTTTCACTAACACTAACACCCCGAGTTTTTGTAAGGAAACATTTTTGGATCATAGTTCATAAAGCAAACTGACATTGATTTTTTATGTACATTCACACCCTTAAATATTCGCATATCATTAAGGAACACCCTGTATACATATTCAAGTAACGCGCCAAAAAAGCACTTGGGAGTAGGTGCAGATAGTTTTTTTTTCAATTCTGATATGATACCGAAGAAAAAAGAAAGTGGGGAGATTTGTTCTAACCACTTTATTTATAATTAGTCATTACAATGAAGGTTATGATTACAATCATGGGCGACCACAGGAAGGGGGATCAAGGTTGGCCGTGCCCTCCTGATTCTGTGTACAATTCTGAAGATTTTCTGGATTTGCCCCCTCCCTGAGAAAATTTGCAACCCCACACTTCAAAAAGTTTTTGGGCAGGTTCATTTTCCACAAAAAGTTATCTCTCGCGGATAATCACACCGCCCCCCCTCCCCTGAAAAAATGTTTCGCGGGTGCCCATGTTCTTTTGTATAGAAGGAAGTGATGAAGGTCTTTAAATGAAACGCCAAAGTCAGAGGTTAATATTTTTTTTCATCCGTTTTCATAGAAAAAACTGAAGCTTACAGTGTTGCACGCACCACCGAGTCTTCAACAATTTTTTTAAAACTTCGATGGCGAATTTAAAAACGCAGTTTTTTTGAATAAAATATAAAAGTGACAACTTATTACTCGCTACCATAACAGTATGAACATAATCAAAAAATGAAGTGCATATATGGACGGTTCTTTATACTTAGCTATGATGTGTATGAACACGCAGAAATAATATGCTCTACAAAATAACATCTACTAATTGTCATAGCTACTTTTGGGAACGGGATCATCAAATAATGCATCATTTTCACATCACTTGACTGAATATGTATCTGTTTTGGAAATATCACAAAGTAATATAAAGAAGGAATACATTGGGTGTCCGAGAATTGATAGATATTTCCCTGCAACTGGAAGTAGGTCTCATCATAACCTACTGTTTGGCAAAAAATTTTTCTCCTGGTTTTCGAGGTATACAGCATTTTTTTAACACAAGACACTCGTCTAGATAAATTGTTGCCATTGCACTTTTTGGAGCTCAGTTTATGAGAATTATTCTAATGCAACATTTCAACTTTAACACCCCCTAGTAATAAAGAATGAAATAGGATCACCGTACCAAATACTTGAACAAGTTGTTTATGTAATGCCATTCTTGCGGTGGTACTATTGTCCAACTTTTTGTTTCCTATTTTCTTTTTTATAACAATTTTAGTGCAAGTTCGTCAAGGTTCTGGAATATTAAAAATTGGTTTTATGGCGCGAATAACAAGTAATAGTAGGATTGACTTGATGATAATAATTTTTGTTATATTCGCATGCAGATTAGCCATTACGGGTGCCTTACATCTCTTAATAATAGATGAGTCCCTTAGTTTACGCGAGTATCCTCTTTCTGAAATTTTCTTGGTGGCCGGTCAGATTTTACTACGCATCTGTATCCTAGAAACCAATTCTATTTGATGCACAATAACTTGTAGCCAATCTCAATCAAAACTCTAATGGGTATTGGCAATAGGTCATGATGTGACCTATTTCAAGTTGGAGGGATGTCCTTCAATTTTCGGACACCCTGTATACATCATTTTGCTTGTAGAACCTCCACAGCAGAAACTAAAAAATCTTCTGCTACGTGTGAATAAGTCGTCACTACAAAATTGAGCTTTCGAATACTAGGATTTATTTACAATAACAACGTGTCGGAGGATCCAGTGTTTTTAAACATTATGTTCAATTTTGGTGAATGCATCCACATGTTTGTGGTGCACATTCACCGTAATTTTCAATAAAAGGTTTCATGTCGGGTCTACTATCGATAATTGATAAATAGGGGTCATTTTTAATCACATGTTTTTGATAAGATTTCATAGGGCGTTCAAAATGTATGACACGAGAACAAAACCTAATTTGTTTACTTCATGCAAAACAAAAACGTTGAATTAGTACAAAGTCTAAATGCACTGGATCGGGAGGCTCTCTAGAAAAGGCCATATTTTTTGCATTATATAAATAATATGGTAAAATAGCTCACTGCTCTGTGTCAAATAGAAAATAGAACTAGAGAGCGCTTTTACAGATCAGCCCCCAAAATCGTATCAAAAAGTTGTATTATTTGGAAATTATATTTTGATTAAAAAAACTTGACTTATTGTACATTTTACCATATTATTTGTCTCCGTTTTTTATAATACATGTACATATCATACATTGAAAATCGGGATTCAAAATGAAGGAAAATTTACAACAGATTCTACATAAGGCAAGATAACAAGTAGGAAACGTTTAAGTTATTTTTATATTATAACAAATATTGCAAAAACAGATTACTTGTATGCGTAAGAAAAATATATTATACAACTTCAGGACATTTTCACTTTATGTCTAGTATAACAAATAACAAGGTCAATATTAGGAGAAACATTTATTTATAACTCACGTGAAAGTTCAACGCATCGAGTTTACCTCCAGATATTGACCATTTGTACAAACATATACAAATAGATACCTAAATTATGTTCATAACAATACTTCAATCAATGGTACAACAATCATATAATTTTATAATAATTAACAATATCTGTTCAGGCGTATTGTTTCTGATATGTTAAATGAAAGTATATAGTTAGCTTTAAATCCCGATTTCTGTTCATTTTGATATTCAGTTGGCTTAACCAATGATAGTATTTCTATATATAAAAACTACGTAAGAACAATTTTTTACCGTGAAAAAGACGCTATATTTTAAGAATATCATTAACAAAAATTCAGAAAAACTACAGATCGTATTATGAAATAAGTAGTGATTCATTAATTAAAAGCAAAAATATGAAAACAATTAAGTTTATCGGGCTGTCCTTATTATCGAAGTGAAGAAGTATTTCTCAAATTTCGTTTTCGATTACTATTCCTTTGAAGCGTCGGTTGTTAGTGCAGACAATGCGGTCTACTCTGGAATTCTAATTGTCGATTGCGAACATTTTGAGTTGTATTTGTCGACCATTATAGGTCATGACGACATTATATTTACTGCCTGAAATTCAAGCCTATGATCTTTAGCGCAGTCCATGATGACATGGCTATAGAACAACAAGTATAGACTGTATGATTCTAAATCTCTATAAAAAACGATACATTTCTTTTGGGGATGTAGATAAGAGAGTACGATTCAGAATTAGAGAGGAGTCCTATTCAAGACGAACGCGTCATCGAGAATTGGAATTCGAAAATGAACCTGCAATGATAGCCATTATTTCAGAAAATGATTTCCAAAAAGAAATGTTTGATGTTTCTTTCGTTTGATAATGAAGATAACCCGATACAGTATATTTTTTTTATTTTTTATAGTTTTGAAAAAATTACATCTGAATAATAATGATTTCACTCAAATACTCCAATTATTGATTCAGAGAGTAGCTTATATATTGAAATGACATTGAAAAAATAATTGGCACTACTTATTTAATTATATCTACTATC